TGTTAAAAATATGGAAGAAATTGAATTTTTAGATATTGAAAATAAGTTACAAAACTAGAATATACCCTAGTATCCAACTAAGAAAATATACAATATTGGAATTTTTTATTTTAAGTCAAGTCTAACAATTAAAACCTTAGAAAGAACAATTTCCTTTGATCAAAATGTGGATACTTTACAACTCTTAACTGAGAGAGAAGTCTTAAAGGCTAAAGAAAATTATAAATTTTTGCATATTGGTTTAGTCCAAGTGGCTTTAAAAACTTTAACCTTTCAAGGATTAAATGCCTCTTTTATGCTAACCTTAAGAGATGTTAGATGTTTAGATTTTGACTGATCTATAATGGGAGTTATGTAGTCCAGCTTAAGAACTGGCCCAGTTTATTTTAATCGTTTTCTCAATTTATCAGTATCTTTAATGCATAAAAATATACTAGATGTTTTAACATGCAATATTTAAACTTACGACTATAATTTTAAGAAAGGAATATAATGATTTTTACATATAGAGAATATTATAAAGTAATGAATATTCTGTTCAGAAGCTAAGTTGTATAACCTTAAAAGTTAAACAACTCTAATTGAAACAAATATGATTAAAATTAAAATTAAAATTCCTAGAACCATTAAATGGTCAGAAATTCAGCTTCTAGAAATATGAAAGTTGGAAGTTGTAGTTCCTAAGAAACCAAAAGTAAATCAAGAAGTAACACAGATCGCCCAATCATTCCAGGGTGATGTAATAATAAGATTTGCCAGAGATAATTTTTCGGGCTTAAAATTTTTTGTTAAATTAAGTACTTCATCAATATATAATGCTCCAAGTAGGAGGAACACTTTTATATTCCAAATATAAGGGGAAAAGAACCTACAATTGAGAGAATTTGTACCTCACGTAACCAAATTTCACATGAAATCTATAGACAAGATAATGAATCTTCCTTAGAGGAAGATCAAGATCCAACCCCATCCAAAATCTGATTTCAACTATAAATTTTATGGATTTTAATCCAAAAGAATTTATAGTAAATAAGAAATAAATAAATATAGAATTTTATCTTCCTAAATATATATAAAGGATTTAGAACTTGGTATTTAAAAACTATGAATCAAGAAGATCTTAAAAGATATAAAAAAAATGTTTTACCTTTATATAGAAAGAAAAAAAAAAGATAATTCCTTTTGTTAAATGGTTTTTAACTTTCTTTGCTCCACCTATTGTAGATCAATTAAATGTAATTGAAAATTTTCAAAAGAAATGGGAAATCTTGGATGGTAAAAATATTAACAGTTTTTATTCTTCAACCATTAAAGCTATAAAACTAAATTTAGAGGATTTAGGAGAAGTTATAATGAATGCTTGTTATACATTAAAAGATAATGACATAATAAAAAATATTTCTATAAAATAGAGTAATTATACAAATGTGTGCTTACAAGTTGTAGGACAACATTTGACTAAAATTAAAAATCTAATTAAAGATCAACAAAAAACAGAAGCCTCGTCTTTTAAATCCTTAAATGAAAAACCTGTTGAAATTGAAAAAGTTAATATTAAATCACCAGTTGATACCTCTGCATTCATAATAAAGTTGAAGATGAGTTCATAAATGAACTCAAGAAAAAATTAAAAAATTTGTCATTAAATATAATTTCTTAAACAGAAAGTGTAGAGCAATCTAAAACTGAAATCAAACAATTTGAAGATTCTTTACACCAAATGCAGTCCGAGGAGGTCAATAAAATTGGGTATTCTAAACCTAAAAAATAAACTAACACATATTCTCAAGCACCCCCTATAAGAGCTTATTATCAAAGACCAACTCTTCAAGATAATTTATATGAGGAAAACTTATTTATTAAACAAACTGGATATGATGCATCTTTTATTTATTTACTAGTGGGTCTTTGGTCCAATAGTATTCCTTGTCTTGTAAAGGCTTTGCCTTGTTGAGATCAAAAGTTCAAGTCCTCCTTCCTCCTTCTCCTCCCCCAAAAAAAAAAATGTTTAAAAAAAAATAAATATATATATATGAATGGAATATTGATGGCATTTCAGAATCTTTAATTCATCAAGTTTTACATAAAATTTTAATGTATACATCTATTTGTAAAACTAATCGTAATTCAGATCATACTACTGCTAAATTTTTAACAGTGGGATTTACTGGCCAATTAAGAGGCGGGTGGGATAACTATTCAATGGCATCAAGAGACCCCCCCCCCCCAAAAAAAAATATATATATATTTTTTTTATAGCCTCTAGGTGTATATATTGCATAATGGCTGGGAGACTTTTAATAGTAAAACATGGGCATGTATTATGTGCATACAGGTTTGAGTATAGATGTGATGGAATAGCGATTCCAAAATTTGTTGACGGCACACATATACTTGAATACAAAAATCTATTTGTTTATTAACCCTACAGGGCGGAATTAGGATTTACCTTTGATGTAAAGAACATTACGAATGAAGACAAATCAAAATCAAATAGTTGGCTCGATAGACCTCACGATCTTCTACATTGTGGGATGTAATCTTTTGAATTTTCTCTATTGATCTCTCTACCCCTTCTAAACGTGATGTAAAGTATATGCCTGAGAGAATCAAAGAATGCATGTATTTATAAATTACAGTAAAGATCCTAATAAGAAATAAGGACTGAGTTTCCAATGGACCTAAGAATCTTATGTCCAATTCAAAACAAATATCATAAGGTCCATTAATAATAGGGAAAACAGGGGGCGGTACACAATATTAAAATTATTAGGAAAAAAGTACACTTTTTAAAAATGTTGGTAAAATAGTTCACCCATTAAAGCTAAAGTCTAAAATAATCCTTTTTCAATTTGAAAAGTTTCCTACTTGTCTAAGGAAACTGGCGGAAAGAATTGGAAGAGACAACAACTACTCGCATGTCTCTATCATTGGCGCCAGAGTTTATACGATTTGAGGATAAAAATTTGAAATTCAAATATTACACAAATATCTACCCAAACACTATTCTCGGGTGTTAAAGAAATCTATTATTATTGAAAGTTTCACTGTGAAGAATACACACCGTCGACATCGTTGGAATTTATTAAAAACGAAGGTTTGGCCACTGTGATACCAATGTCACACTGCTTATAAAATACATATACAGAGTTGGGCCACTGTGAGGATTATAATGTGACATCAATATCCACTATATACACACAACATATGTAAGTTTTGGCACATAGAAAGTATCACAGTGTGACTTAGGGATTGGCATGTTGTGGGCATCAAAATGTGGCATGTATATAGATACCATATACAGGGTTTGAACATGGATAAGATCATACTATGATGGCAATGTAACACTTCATATAAAGATTCAAAAATACTGATGAGTATCACAGTGTGAATCCAATGTCACAATGCAACAACACATCATATGAACTTTTTTTTTCATGGTGTGGGCATCAAAAGTATGACTCCAATGTCACACTGTAAACACAAATATCATATGCAATGTTTTACACAATGTCGGTATCATGCAATGTGATGTAAATGTAACACTAAATAAACAAGAGAGAAAATGGGGGGAAGAGAGAGTGAGAGAGAAAGAGAGAGAATAGGGAGTCAGTATATTATAATACATTTTAATGGAAAGCCAGTAAACTAATCATACATTCCAAATTAGTCCAAATTTTCATTATCTAAAATAAAGAAAAGCTCTAACCCCATGAAAAATTAGAGAAATTCTACTGCCCTAGAACTTAGAAACAATGTATTTCAACCGTCTTTATATCCAAGAGTAAAATTGGTGGATTAGGCCGAAACAAATTTAGTCATTTCTTTGTTCTCCGCATATTAAGGAGTTAGTATTTCTTATTTTTTTAACTACAATAAAAATTTAGATTGACTAGTATAGGAATAAATTATTATATTTTTTGATTAAATTTTTTTTTCGTATTTTCTATGTGCATTGGTATATTGGTTAATATAAAGTGTTGTTTTGAATTCTTGAATGGGATGTTGGTCAACTACTAGTTGATTAATATTTTTCGAGTTGAATCATTTTTGCTTAGATTTATTTGAATGAACACCATAGTTACAGTTATTCTCTTAGTGTGCAATTTGAATTTTTGTTAATTCGAGTATTTGTTTATAAGATTTGGCCTCCTAAGAATAAAATCATAATCCTGCCCCCGTCCCGTATATACGCATCTTATTATATACATAATACACACATATGTACCTATAGATCCTATTACAGTGTTTAATTTGGAGAAGAAAAAAAACAACAATGCACAAAGTAGAAAACAAATGTTAACGCTAAAGTAAAAACTCTGAAAAAAAAAAACATTATCAAACCGAACTAGAAATAACCATATGAAATGATTACCCGATTCTCTGGAAGAGTACTCAAAAAACCATTCACTGTACCTTAGAGTAAAGAATTCCATTGATTAGCTTTTCACAATATTTTAAGTTTCCTGCTAACCAATCAGAACTCCAGAGGCCAGAACCAAAGTTGACCAAAGACGGGGGTGGATTTTTTTTTTTGGGGGGGGGGGGGGGGGGGGGGGGGGTGGAATCTGAAATGTGCTTAGAACGTTGAATTTCTTTTAACCTTTCTCTAGTTGAAATTGTGAATAATGAGGTGGACACCAATTTTCGAGATCTAGAACGGTTTATATTTAAATGCATGGCTAAGGTTGCCCATAATTGTCCACTTTTCTCTAATTGTTTATTTTTCATCGTTCAACCTACATGTGATGTTGCCAGCTATATCTTGTAAAAAATATTGTCCAAAACCTAAAATACATCAATGGTAAGTCATGGAATTAGCTCAAATTGAAAGATTGTAGTGATCTAATATCTCGAGATTGTAACTTCAAATCCAGCCCCGCCCGCATTCACACACACGAAGCTTGCAAATTTTACTACATCACACAAGGTCAATGAGCATATGGTTTGGACAATACTTCTTTAAAATAAAAAAAATAAAATAAAAACTAATTACAGTAACCAAATGAATAGTTTAGCCATCTTGATAGACAAAAATAACAAACATGTAGAGTGAAACTGATATGAAGAAGCAATCAAACAATGCCAAGCAAGAAAGAAATACAAAAGTTCATGGTTGTTGGTATAGATGCCAGACACCCAGCAACTTATACCATATTTTGAAAACGACCCCTATATTCTTCTTGCTTCCTCAAGAAAGATATCCAATGCAAAACAACAAAAGACCAGCAACCAAATCCACCCCCACATTCATCCTCCCAGAATCATTTGTAGAAGATGGCTTTGCAGCTGTCGTCTTTGTACCACTGGGGCCACTAGCTGGGGCGTTTTCAGGTGGTGGTGGTGGAGAGGAGGACGGAGCTAGAGATTCATAGAATTCCAATGGCAACAACACTTTATCCACTTGGTAAACAGCCAAAGGACGATTAGAGCGTACGGCATTGTAGATTTGGGTTTCAACGACTCCAGTCGAGACGTTTAATTGGTTCCCCTGGCCGGTGAAATTGAGTCCGAAATTCTTACCGTTCGGGCCATTGGCTTGTGTTTGGACCGGGTTGCTCACCGTTAGAAGATCAGTTAAGCTATAGAACTTGGGCAAAACATGGTACTGAACAAGTAGTACTTGTTGTTCCATGGTCAGCTTGTTAAGAGTGCCCGCCGGGAGGTTGTCGAAGGCGTTGTCAGTCGGGGCAAAGACGGTCATACCGTCATTGGAGTTGTTGACTTGGTTGTCGATTTGGTTTCCGGCTTGTGTCACATTGAGTAAGTGGATGAAGTCGCTGAATCCGCCAGGTTTTTCGAGGATCGCCGTGATGTTGATCGGGCCAGAGGGGGCGGGGGCCGGAGCAGAGGGCGATTGGGCTTGTGTTTGAGGAGAAAGGAGGAGGAGCAGGGTGGTGAGTGATAGAAGGACGAGGAGAGAGAGAGGTGTGTAAGCCATGGTGATGTTGTTGGTGGAGGGAATGGGATGAATGTTAATGGGGATTTATGGGATAAGAGATGTGGGGTATGAGTTTGTTGGAATGAGCTGGCTGTGGACTTGCCACAAAGACAAAACCATGAAAATGTTTTTTTGAAAGGAGAAACAAAGAGAGAAATAAAAAAAAGGAAGAAAAACTATGGAAAAAGTAAATTTAATGAAGCAAATGATACTACAAGTAATGACCCATATATGATGCGACAAGATTCATATCTATTTTAATACACTTTGCTTCTAATCAATCATCGCGTTGGTGAATTTGAAAGAAAGTGTCTTAAAAATTATCCAACCCTCATGAGGGCATAGAATTTTTGTCATTCGTATAAGAGATGCAAGTTCACTACGTTGACATTTAGAAAGCAATCCTCTCTAATATTTTTTTTAATCTCAATTATAGATTATCTATAATGAATTCAAGTGGAACCTATCGTGTATAAATAGGTCCCATACTAATATATGCTACTACTATTCAAAAAAAAATACTAATATATGATGAATGATCTATTTGTGGAATATTTGGAGAAAGTGTATTCGAGGGATTTAAATCTTTGACATTATCAAATTGGCAAACAAACTTACCCAAAAAAAAATCTGCAAAGAAAATATAGAAACCATGTTGCCCCATGTGTAGATACAAGATGTATTCAGGATTATTAATTGAATATCAAAACCAACCTAAACTCTAGTTTAAGTTTCTGCTAGCTGGGCTCTAGGTTGAATTGCACCTGATCCAACCCATAACAAGTTGCAGCACCAAATCAGCAGAATATGTATTTTAATGTAGTTTGACAAACAGAAAGTATATATTCTCAGTGTGGCAACCTGGCATAACATGGCATGTTGGTATAGACAGCAAAACTTCATGGGTTCAACTACGAAACCGGTTGCACAATCTCATGTTAGGTATGATGATTTGGTAGTTTGATTTCCATATAAGAGCAACTCCAACTCTTCTCAGTAAAATAGCTATCAATAATATATTTAAATATTGTATTCTCTATTTTAGTTAGTTATTTTTTCAAATCCACTTCAATAACGTTCTCTATTTTAGTTGACTATTTCAACTAATTTTAACTAATTTTTAATAATATAATTCAAAAATTCAACTCAAAGCATGTTTAATCATCAAATCAACCAAAATCATACCATAATAATAATTATAATTAAACTTTAAATAATACAACTTAATGGCAATTTAACACTCATCCACTTTAAATAACAAAAATCAATTGCACAATACGTCTCATAAATCTAAAATTTTCTCAAATACTCACATTAATATTTCACAGGGGTCTAAATGTAAATATTCTATTATACATAAAACTAAGGGAGTTTTCAAAATTCAGGGGTTAAGAATTTGTTTTTTTTTGTTTTTTTTTTGGGGGGGGGGGGGTTTCAAAATTTGTTGAGGGTTTCAAAATTTGGGAGGAGGGGCATTTCACGCATCTAGGTTCTTGCACCTCCACCCTCCTTTGGAGCATACCAGTGGAAGTATCCAGCAAGAAGGAGTAGCAGGAACTAGCGAGCAATTTTTTCTCTCTAAATCTAGCGAGCAAATTTGACTTTCTAAATTTTGGCAAGGTGGATAGCTAGGGCGTTGGAGTTGAATTTATGAGAGTTGCTCGCCAAAACAACTAAAAGGACGGAGTAGCAAGGGGCGTTGGAGATGTTCTAATTTACATATCTAAACTTAAAATTAACTTTATATATCTGGCCAATGTTGAGTTATAATTCATGATTGAGATCCCCCCCCCCCCCCATACACATACCTCAACCTTACTCATAGATTCAAGTGCAGCCCACTCTTTGTGCATCCTTCATCTATACACGATAGACAATTTACTAAAAGTGACAGTATAAACCAGTGAATTTGAATCCATAATTCATATCCCTCCTAGACAATGCCTCATAAATGTTGCATAAAGTAGGGAGTGGGACCTTCATCTATATACAATAGATAATTTACGATAAGTGAAAGTTCATCTATATACAATAAACAATGATGATTTTTTAGATGTACTATAAATACGATGACTTTTGGCAAAAATGGTACATAATTTGAATATATACTATTTCATAATTAAAATGATTCACATGCAACTACTAGTTAGAATTAAAGGTTAAAAAATTATAAACCTATCCATCCAAACAACACCTTGGTGTAGGTGGCTTCTTGAATTTTTTGTTGCCCTCAAATGCATAGCAAAAAAATTTAGTGATCATAAATAGTCTCTACGGATCAGTGACTTGAGCCCGAGTTTCCTCACCAACAACTTGATCATAGCTGCAAAAATAAATCTCTTTAACAGAAATCTCTGCAGTACTGCTAAAAACTTAATGGCAGTTCAATACATAACTGTATGACGATAAAATGTAATAGAAATAATAAAATAAGGTAAAACAAGAAAATATAACACATTCCACATTTGTATTGTATGAAAAATGAAGATAAAGTATCGAAATATTACTTTCTGAATCATAATTTGGGCTCCACAAAATTAGTTCAGATGCACTAGTTCTTCTAATGCATGGGACAATTTAAAATTCATTAAAATCGAAAATTTGGTCCAAGTAAATCAATTATCGTTGGATGTCAATAAATTGAATTTGAATTTCAACGAATATCAGTCGATTCTATTATATGTGTATGTAATTCAAATCAAATATTTATATTTTCAAGTTCAATTTCATGAAATATGATGTTAAGGATTTGAATTTGAATATTCGATCAAAATAACAATCTATAACTGACTAATCAGAATCAAATCTAATCTAGATCGAAATTTGACTCTTTAAGAGTGTACGAGCGAAAATCTTCATCCTTATAAATGGTTTGGGAGTAAAGCGAATCTGAATTTAGCTTCAACAAACAATATGGCGCACCCTATTGTTGAAAGACGAATGAGCTTTCATAAAATTAGAGTTGAGTCGGTAGGAAGTACTTTGATGCTTAAGTCAATTTGACCTAAGATTAAGCTACCAAATTGGATGGAGGGATGAAAATAAATGTTGATGCAGCTGTGGGAAATGATTCTGCTTGTACAGCAATCCTGGCAAGACAGGAGATTGGAGAAATTGTGGGAGAATGGAGCCAATCCCAAATCCACTCATAGCAAAGGCAAATTGCAATCAAGAATGCTGTTATTACTTGGGCTGCAAAAGAGAATTGGATCTATGTCACCATCGAGATCGACTCCCAAACATTTGTTAATGCTGCCATGCTAAATCACATTAAAGCACCCTAACCAAGCTGACAAATTATCCAAGACCTGAAAGTTCATACATTAAACAATTGCTATTGCTGTCATGCTCAAAATGCATCCTGATTGGAGCATAGTTCACACATACCGGAACGGAAATGGTGCAGCACATGAACTTGCAAGATGGGGTTTAAAGACAAAGCGCAGAGGCAAACTCCACAGGGACAACTTCCCATATTCTGTGCACAAAGATGTGAACCAGGATAGAATAGAAATCAGTTAGCTTAGCATTTAACTTCTGTTAGTTTTCCTTTAACTTCTTTACTCTGTTCTAAACTTTCCCCAAGGGAAAAAAATAAAAAAAAGAAATACTTGTGTGCACCCAAGAAATAAGGGTGATGATGCAAGGGGTAATGTCAAAATAAACAACTGATGTAACAACGGAAAAGAAGTTGACACTGAATGTCTGAATCTAAGTTTAAGCTTTTTCATTTCAAAAAAAAAGCCAGACAACCCAGGGGTCCATGGGCCAGCTTATTCTGCCATGTGGGAGACCCACGAATAATCCAATAGCTTATGACTTGGATCACCACACCACCAAATACAAACGTCAGATAGGTCCGCGGCCCAGGCCGATGCCCACAGAAAAATCTACAATTGTCAGAAATTATTGCCGGGGTGTAATGTAATTTCAAAATAAGGAGCGTCTCTCATGCAATTATTAGAAACTATAGGGCATTGGCTGTTTTCTGAATTGAATCAACGACTCAGATTCCGCCACGCTAGCATCCAATTCCCACAACGCCACCACGCAATGTCCCCCTATACTGACGGGCCAAGATCTAAAACGTAACCATCCACAAAACCAAAAGGCACTCCAAACTCCAAAGCCTCCCCAACCTCTCTCTCTCTCTCTCTCTCTCTCGCTCAAGGTGTCGCCTGTGGCTGTGCTGGTGGTGGATGGCAAGAAGCAACAAATACACCTCGCTCAACTTCAACGACATCTACGAGAAAAAGATCACAAACAATTCCACTAGACCTCAGCCTTCTCAATCAGCTTCATCATCTTTCTCCAATCCCAATAAAACCATCCTCTCAAACTCTCGCATCCATGGCCACATGCTTGTTCTGAGCCGCCCCACACCCAAACCCATCACCCACCCAACCCCTTCTAACCCATCAGCACCCCAACAAAACCCAGTTCCTCCGATCCCAGATCAACCCAGGTCTGAACCGGTCACCCGAGTCGAACCGGACTCTATCTCTCTCCGCCCGTTAGGCCGGACCGGCACCGGACCATCTCTTTCTTCTCCTTTACCGTCTCCGAAGCCGGATAAGGAGATATCGCCTTTATCATCGCCGTTGCCGAAGACGGACCGGTTTGTGCCGCCGCATCTTAGACAGGGTTTCGTTGGCCGGGAAGAGAAACCCGGGCCGGATTTTCAGAAGCCTGGTCCTGGGATGCGGACTAGGGAGTTGGGTGGGCATCGTCAGGGGTATTTCAGGTCGTCTCCAAATGGGTACGGGGAAGATGGGAGGCCGCAATCAGGAGGTGGGTATGAGAGGATGAGAGGAGGTGAATCTGATCTGATGGAGATGAGACGGCCCGGTTCTAGTGGGTCTCGGCCCAGCTCTAGCGGATGATGGTATAGTCTTCCTAATCTATCGCTATTTGATTTTGCAAAACTGAAATAATCGATTAGTTATTTAGTTTCACTTTTATTATTCTCCTTTGTGTGTGTGTATGTGTTGTGGTGTTGCTGAAAATTTTAATTGGTTTTGTTTTCCATGATGGACCTATATGGGTTCTCATTGT